TGGTTTCACAGGTGTAAAAGGATTTATTCTTTCTGGCTCTTATTACAAGAGATCTCTGTTAATTAATGACTTATAATAAAAGTTCTGACTAGTCTATTTATAGATAAAAACCTAAAAACTGTAAAAGGGTTATTGTAGTTTGATTTGACCAAACATCTGAGAGTGCACTCTGATTTAAATGCAATTGTCTTGTGTATGTTTATCTGTCTGTCTGTTCAATCTGTATTAATAACTGGTTAAAACACCTGCAGCTGAATTGTTTAGGTAAAAAATGTTTGAGCTCAAAAATTTCTTTTTCTTCTTCTGGTTCTTTTTGATATTTCCATGGAAAACCATTTGTATAGGTTTGCAGGGTAGCCAAACTCATTTAAAACATTACATGAGAACTGACAGGCTCAAGGATTACATAGGAATAAAAGCTTTAAAGTTTGATAACATAAAGCTTACATTACATATGATTTAGATTAATATGTTTGTTTCTGTGTGTTAATTTTTAAGTATACATTACCCTCCAAAAGCTCTATTTAAGTTGGCTTATAGAAAAATAAACACTCAAGACCTTATCTCAAATGCTTGTGGCTCATATAGCTCAACAGTAGACTAATTTAAATCACTTGGGAAGAATAAAGATGTTTTTGAAGTTGCTAACATATTTGGCTACAATTAAATGGTTAAGTTTTCTATGTCTAAAATAATATGGTTTTCTAAAATATTGAGATGCTCTTGGTTAAACTTACAAAACTAGATTTAAATCAAAGGTTCTATATTTTCTAAAATAATTTTTTTGTGTTCTCATTGTTAGGCTTTTGGTTACTGAAAAGTAAGCTTTAAGAGTTAAAGAGTAAAAATAGAAACATAAAAATAAAATAAATAAAATAAAAAAGTTAAAGAGTATTTGAATGTTAACCTACAAAATGTTTTTAATAATTAATTCATGATTGGTTAAATAATGAACTATTATCTTAGTTTATGGCATAACATATATTTGGGCTAATATGTATGTATACATCTAAAAACAAGGTATGATGTGAGTCTAAGCTTTAAAGTTAAGTTATTGAGTTAAGACTACATATTTAAGTTAAGACTACAAATTATTTTTGTTTTGACTTTTGCTTTTGACTGTACTGAGGATTAAATTCAGGGCCTTTAACATCCTTAAATCTCTTTTTAGTTTTTATTTTGAGATTGGGTCTTTCTAAATTGCTAAACTGCCCAGGCTGGGCTCGAATTTGTAATTCTCTGCCTTGACCTCCCAGAGTGCTGGGACTTCAAGCATGTGCTACCACTCCTCATTTCATTAATTAATGTATTTGTCCTTCTGTTAAATTTAAATCTGCCTTAAATTGTTTATACATATTGGTCCTGGCCCTGACCTCTCTGTAGTGATACAAAATAAGTAAAAAATAATAAAAGTGTCTTTTATCCTTGAAAGCTCAAAATAGCCAGTTGTGGTTCTTTCCTTTTCCCTTCTGTGATACAATCTACTTAAACTTTCTGTGACTCATCTCCCTCACCTACAAAATTGGAGACAATTGTAGTAAGTACATATGGCATAGGATTAGTAAGAGAGTCAATGAGTCAATAGCTTCATATGGAATAATGCCTAGCACATAGAAAATTCTCTATAAGTACTAACTGTAATGATAGCAGGAATAATAATGGTATAACAACAGTCATACTAATTTTTATTCTTTGATTATAAATATAACCAAGAGAAAGCCCAAATAAAACCTATAGTTTCACTTGCATTTGGTTGACTTTAAATACCACAATTTTTAGGCATCACACAGCTATGTAATATATTACTAGTTTTTCACTAGCTTTGCTGTAGATAGAACCTTTGACATGCAGGTTATGGTGACACTGGTTGCCTGGGTTACTTTTCAGACTTTAAGGCCACTCTTGCTGAAAGCACTGACACTTTACTTGAGCCTGCAGATATCTAATGGGTGACTAAATAGGATGAAAAGCTTTCATGTTTGCTACCTTAGCCTTTTGTTGGGTCAGATTTCTGATCAACTGTGCAGGTAAATATGTTAGTAACTTAAGGTGTGTTTCTCTAGAATTGGTAATGCAAATCGATGCACTGAAAACCTCCTCAATTTCTTCTCCTCAAATTGTTGATGACAAAACAAAGGTAACCCAAAGATCTTTGATGTTAACAGGGGCATCATGATTCTAGGCTTAACATATGTACCAGCCACTAACATTCACAACACCCTGTTCCTGAACACCAGAGTGAAGCCTCAAAGTGTCCAGTCATCAGTCCTTTCTCTAAGCCTTCCTTCCTTTTTCTTTGCATAAGGATAAAAGAAGCTTGAAATCTAGACTGAGTTGAGTTTGATTTCCAGAATACTAGCCAGCCATCTCTTTTTGCTGGCATTACAAGTAAATCTTGAGGTTGAAGATGTAATTCAGTGGTAGAGGAAGGCTTGCCTGGCACTAACTTTGATGCCCAGTATAGAAGCAAAGGGAAAATTTTAAGCAGCACTGCAAAATGGAACTTTTTGTTTCATTTAGAGACAAGTGGCTTCCTGAGGCCTAGGGTATAAACAGCTTCCCCTACCACTCCTCAGTTTAAAAGAAGTGACAGGATATGCAAATGTTAGTCCCAGAAGGCTAGGAGCCTGGTTTCTTTGCTACAAAAAGAGGAGGATGAGCTGAAGGTGGCTGGAAGTGATAAAACAAGTGTAAAGATCTGCATTCTCTCTCTTTGTTTCCCCCTGCCCTCTGTTCCTCACTATAAAAGACCCTTGATCACCTGTAAATGGGGAGATGGTGATTTGAGGCAAATGGGCCCTTCCATCTTCTAGGAGTTATTTTTCCTTTTTAGGCAAAAAAATGGCCTCCTTTGACTTATTCACTTGCCAGCAGATGAAAATGAGCATATGAACCTAAGCGGCCTGTAATATTACAAGTAAATCCTGAGGTTGAAGATGTAATTCAGTGGTAGAGGAAGCTTGCCTGGCACTAGCTTTGATGCCCAGCATGGTGTCAAAGAGAAAAAACCTTCAGAAATAAGTTTTTTCTTTGCCCCAATAATTTATTCTTGATTCATTAACCCCCTCAAATGGCAACTAAATGGACTTAGGTTTGGCAACAATATTAATTCAACATTTTTTGCTAGGCATTGCTCAATTTTTTTTTTTTTTGGTACTGAGGATCGAACTCAGGACCTAGTGCTTGCAAGGCAGCCGTGGTGCCACTGAGCTAAATCCCTGGCCTGCCCTATTTTTAATATGCCATCTTGTGTATCCTTAGACAGTTGTTCCCACCAAGACATTTTTTAAAAATTTAGGTTAAACTTCCTGTTATGGCTTATGTCTAGATGTCCCCCCAAAGCTTCACATGGCCACAGGTGGGGCTTGCTGGAGGTGACTGGTATCTACAGTGTGTGATATTGGGATTAAGAATGTGATGCTGGAATTGATTCACAGTCCGATGCTGGCATTAAGGGTGTGAGTGATACCTGCCCTAAGGGTGGGTAATCAGGATAAAATATGAGGCACAGAAAGAAGGGCTGCTATTTTGCTACTTGGTGCTCTTTCTCCCTGCCATGAACTGTTTCTCCTCTGTGATGCCCTTCTGCCATGGAGCCAGCTGATTATGAACTGAAGTCTCTACAAACTATGAGCTGAAATAAACCTTTCTTCCTTTAACTTTGGGTGTCAGATATATCACTTCAGCAACAAGTAACTAAGACATTTCTCTAGTTACTTTAGCTATTTCTAATGTGACAGTTTTTCGAGGTCATTAACCAATCAACATGTTGCTGAATTTGTAAATGTTTTGGAAAATACTGCATCTTTTGCCTATTGTATAATAGAGTCATCACTCCCTTCATTCTAGGATAAACACTATACAGTATATATTTAGAGATGCATCTGAAGGTCATAGTAGATATTGTGAATGCCATACATATCACACTATTGGATCCAGCTCAAATTGTAGTCAACTGAGATCCACACTTGCCTGACAATTTTATACATACAGTTGTTAATGTACTTTGAGAGACCAAAGCGACTCCATTTTGCTAAAATACACCACTCCCCTAGTCTCTCACAAGTTAATGGTTAAAATGTGCTTGCATTGGGACAAAAGACACAATCTGTAACGAAACAAAGTTCCTGAGTTAATTGCCCAGCCATCTGTTTACCCGGGAAATAAATGTTCTGGGTCCACTATCCATAGAACAATCTGTAGATGTGCTGACTGTCAGTACATAATGGTCGTGACTATTAGTCAGTGTGTCTGCTGACCATCAGTACGTGACAGTTGGCCACTAACCTTTGTCCCTCTTTTCCCTCGTAAAACCCACATGTAGCCACCCCTCAACCCCCGATGTACCTAGCCAATCAGAAATGTACACTTCATGCTTGCTAAATGTTAACCAATCATGTAACTGCTAAGTAAAAGATCTCCAAACCTTGCTGTAACCTCTATAAACATCCCCATTGATTTGAAATTTGGGGCTCTCGATCTTGATTCTCTGCGTTGGTGACAATTGAGAGTCCCTGCTCGAGCTTGAATAAACGACCCTTGTGTGCTTGCATTGGAATCGGGTCCTTGGTGGTCTTTGGGGACTTCGCAATCTGGGCACAACATTTGGGGGCTCATCTGGGATCCCCCAGGACCCCAGGATCCCCGTACTGGAGGGTCAACACTGGCCGGTGAGTGTCTAATGTCTCTTTGTTTGTCTGTAATTCGGGGGCCCAATTTCTGAGTAGGTCGGCAGACGGTCTAGGCGAACGCACTGCGAGGACCGCCGACCTGGGATCCTGGAAGACATTCCGGATCCTTCTGGAGGGGATGGAGTGCCCCATAGGTATGAGTCTGTGAGACTCCTGGAGGGACGGTGCGGGTCGCTCCCGAGGTACAGCGTGAGGCCGTCGTCCCATTTTCGGTATTGCCTCTGATCAGGCGGAGGCCGGTTTTGTCTTGCTTTTTGTTTTGTTGTTGTGTTTGTTTGTCTGTTTATTGTGGTGACTTGGACTGAGACGATGGGACAGACTGTGACTACCCCTCTTTCCCTCATGAAGGACCATTTCAAAAAGGTTAGGGAGCACGCTCATAACTTAAGTTTAGAAATTAAAAAGACTAAATTCATTACTCTTTGTAGCTCGGAATGGCCCACCTTTGGGGTAGGTTGGCCACCCGAGGGGACCTTTGATCTAGGGACCACGAAGAGAGTCTGGGAGGTCGTCTTCCGTTCTCATACGGGACACCCTGATCAAATTCCCTACATTGTCACTTGGGAGAGTCTAATCTGTGACCCACCCCCATGGGTCAAGCCCTTTTTGCCTCCACAGAAACAGCAGCCAGAGGTAATCCTGACAGCCTGTGAAAAGACCTCCAGAGAGCACGGAGAAAAAAGAAAAACTGAAACCAAGCCGACCACGCCACTTTACCCGGTCCTCCAAGGAGGGACCAAGGATGATCTCATTTTTCCTCCCCCTTACTCTCTCTCTCCTCCCCCATGGCAACAGGCAGAAAGAAATGACCCGGCCCCAGCCGGAGCTGGGGAAGGAGGGTCGGCCCCAGGTGCCAGCAGCCATGATGGCCCCTCCCAGAATACTCGCCACTGGCGTGCCGCCTCTCCGGCAGGCCCGGTGGACTCTACTGTTTGTCTGCTGAGAGCGATAGGGCCCCCTGATGAACATGGTAACCAGCCTCATCATTACTGGCCCTTTGCCACTAGTGACCTCTATAACTGGTGTATTCAGCATGCCAAATTCTCTGATAACCCTAGGGATTTGATTAACCTGTTAGAAACTGTCTTGTTCACTCATCAGCCCACTTGGGATGATTGTCAGCAACTCCTCCAGATCCTGTTTACCACAGAGGAGTGGGAGAGAATCCAAAACAAGGCCAGGAAATTGGTTCCTGGCGATAATGGTCAACCCACCATCAATGTTGACACTATTAATATCTCATTCCCTTTGTCTCGGCCTGACTGGGACTTCAACACAGCAGAAGGTAAGGAGAGGCTCTGGGTCTATCGCCAGGCTCTGTTGGGAGGTCTCAAAGCGGCAGCTTGCAAGCCCACCAATTTGACCAAGGTAGGGGATATACAACAGGGGCCAAATGAAAGCCCTGCAGCCTTCCTAGAAAGAATTCAGGAAGCCTTCCGTAGGTATACTCCTATGGACCCGGAAGCAACTGAGACAAAGGCAGCTGTAATAATACATTTTGTCAACCAGGCAGCACTAGATATTAAAAGAAAGTTACAGAAAGTAGATAGGTTGGGAGAAAAAAGTATTCAGGACTTAGTGGCAGTGGCAGAGAAGGTATATAACAACAGGGAAACCACAGAGGAGAAACAGATAAAAACAGATGACCGCCAGACCCGAAACTTAGCTTGAATTCTTCTGGCCAACTCTGCAGGAGAGCTGAAGGAGTGTGAACGTCGTTTAAGAAAGATTGCGGCAGAAGGACAAGGTAAGGGGGGATGTAGGGATTGCCCCCGAATGGGAAAGAACCAGTGCACTTATTGCAGAGAGGAAGGCTACTAGGCTAAAGAGTGCCCCAAAAGGCCAAAGGGGGACCACCCAAAGACCTCCGTCTTGACCATGGACGAACTGAGTGACTAGGGGGGATGGGGCTCAGCGCCCCTCCCCGAGCCCAGGGTAACCCTTAAAGTGGAGGGGGAGCCCGTTGAGTTCCTGATAGATACCGGTGCCCAACATTCAGTTCTGCTTGAACCACATGGCCATGTTTCTGACAAAACTTCCTGGGTTCAAGGAGCTACAGGCATGAAAAAATATTCATGGACTACCCAAAGAACGGTGGATTTGGGAGTGGGCCGGGTAACCCACTCATTTATGATTATACCTGACTGCCCTTACCCTTTACTTGGAAGAGACTTGCTCACTAAATTAGAAGCCCAAATCCATTTTCAGCCTGGGGGTGCAAAGGTCTTTAACCAAGAGGGAAAGCCCATCCAAGTGTTAACCATGAGCCTTGAAGATGAATATCTGTTACATCAAGAACAGCCCCCTCCTGATCCTGACATGGAACAATGGCTTGCCATGTTCCCACGAGCATGGGCAGAGACTGGGGGCATGGGACTAGCTGCGCACCAGGCACCTGTGTTTGTAGAGATAAAGCCAGGAGCGGACCCTGTGTGAGTTCACCAATATCCCATGTCCCTAGAAGCCCACAAGGGAATATCTCCACACATCAGGAGGTTGCTTGCCCAAGGTATCCTAAGGCCCTGTCAGTCAGCCTGGAACACCCCCTTGTTGCTGGTGTGAAAACCTCACTCAAATGACTATTGACCAGTACAGAACCTCCGTGAGGTGAACAGGAGAGTCATGGATATTCACCCTACAGTGCCTAATCCATACACCCTTCTGAGTTCTCTTCCCCCAAGCCATCAATGGTACACGGTCTTGGATCTCAAAGATGCCTTCTTTAGCCTTCCACTGGCACCCAAGAGCCAGCATATCTTTGCATTTGAATGGAGTGACCAGGAACAAGGCCTTAATGGGCAGTTAACTTGGACCCGATTGCCTCAGGGGTTCAAAAATTCTCCCACCATCTTCGACGAGGCCCTACATGAAGATCTGGATGAGTTCCATCTCCAAAATCCCCAATTGACTCTGTTACAATATGTAGATGATCTCCTCATAGCAGCCGAGACACAAGAGGATTGCCTAGATGGAACCAAGAAGCTCTTAACGGTCATAGGGGAACTGGATACCGGGTGTCTGCCAAAAAGGCCCAAATCTACAAACCTGAGGTAAGCTACCTGGGGTATATGCTTAAAAAGGGGCAAAGATGGCTGTCAGATGCTAGAAAAGAGACAGTTCTTAAGATACCCGCACCAGATTCCCCTCGAAAAGTTAGAGAATTCGTGGGATCAGCTGGCTTCTGCCGCTTATGGATACCAGGGTTCGCGGATCTTGCGAGGCCCCTTTATGAGGCAACTAAAGACAATCAGGCTTTTCAATGGACAAATAAATTACAAAAGTCCTTCGACCAAATTAAGGCTGCTTTGTTGTCAGCACCAGCCTTGGGCTTGCCCGACATAACTAAGCCCTTTCACCTTTACATTGATGAGAACAAAGGGGTTGCCAAGGGCATCCTAGTCCAATATCTGGGCCCATGGCGCCAACCAGTAGCATACCTGTCCAAGAAACTTGATCCTGTTGTGGCTGGATGGCCCCCATGTCTGAGAATGATCACCGCAGTGGCCCTAATGGTCAAAGATGCTGACAAGTTGGCCTTGGGCCAAGAGCTGTATGTGACCACCCCCCACGCCATTGAAGGGGTTCTAAAACAGCCTCCAGATAGGTGGCTCAGCAATGCCCCCCTCACCCACTATCAGGGCCTACTCTTAAACCCGACCCGAGTTGTCTTCCAGACCCCAGCCATCTTAAACCCGGCTACGTTACTGCCTGACCCAGATCTGGAAGCCCCACTGCATGACTGTGCTGGCATCTTGGCTCAGGTACATGGGACCCAAGAGGACCTGAAGGACCAACCGTGGCCAGATGCTGAAGACACCCAGTACACCGATGGGAGCAGTTTTGTCCAGAATGGCCAGAGGTATGCGGGGGCGACTGTGGTCACTGAGACTGAGGTCATTTGGGCTGAGCCCTTGCCCACTGGAATGTCAGCACAGCGAGTGGAGCTCATAGCGCTAACCAAGGCACTAACTTTGGGAAAAGACCAGAGGCTAAATGTGTACACAGACAGCAGGTACACTTTTGCCACTGCTCACATACATGGGGCCATATACAGGGAAAAAGGACTGTTAACGGCTGAAGGAAAGACTATTAAAAACAAAGAGGAGATTCTCGCCCTACTGGCGGCCCTGTGGCTACCAAAGAAATTGGCTATTATCCACTGTCCCGGGCACCAAAAAAATGATACTCCAATTGCCTGAGGAAATAATTTGGCCGACCAGACAGCTCGAAAAATAGCCCTAGAGGCTAATCTGATGCTGACCACTCAACTACCCGATCCAGGGGGCGCTGCTCTGCCAGAAAAACCTCAGTACACTGAGGCAGACTTGAAATGGATAAAACAATTACCTATGCCCCAATGCCTCAATGGGTGGTGGAGATCCTCTGATTGTAAGGTCATCCTGCCTGAAACACTGGGAGAGCAAGTTCTCTCCAAAATGCACCGGGCCACCCACATGGGCACTCGAATAATGCAAGACCTCTTGAGACACACTGGAATCAAGGTCCGGGATGCTAACTCCAAAATAGAACACATTGTCACTACTTGTAAGGCCTGCCAACTGACCAATGCCACTTCAAATAAGGCTAACCCTGGCAATAGGCTGAGAGGAAACTGACCTGGAACATACTGGGAGTTGGACTTCACTGAGGTAAAACCTGGAAGGTATGGTTATAAGTACCTGCTAGTTTTTGTAGACACTTTTTCAGGATGGACAGAAGCTTTTCCTACCAAACATGAGATGGCACAGATTGTAGCCAAGAAACTGCTAGAAGACATCTTGCCAAGGTATGGTTTCCCAGTGATGTTAGGGTCAGACAATGGACCTGCCTTCATTTCCAAGGTGAGTCAAGGTTTAGCACGGGTGCTGGGGGCAGATTGGAAATTACATTGTGCATACAGGCCCCAAAGTTCAGGACAAGTAGAGAGAATGAACAGGACCCTAAAAGAGACCTTAACTAAATTAACCTTAGAGACTGGCGGTGATTGGGTGACTCTCCTCCCCTTTGCCCTCTATAGGGTACGTAATTCTCCCTATAAACTAGGGATGACACCCTTCGAAATTATGTTTGGAGTGCCCCCTCCCATTATCCCTAACCTCCAGTCAAAAGTGCTGATTGAATCTGAATTTGATGATCAAAAATTGTTGTTTTCCTTGCACAATCTCCAGTGTGTTCACGAAGACATATGGCCCCAACTAAAAGCCCTATATGAGTCTGGACCGCCTCCTGAGCCCCACCGCTTCCGACCAGGAGACTGGGTCTTTGTCCAACGACATCGGTAGAAAGACCTTGAGCCTCGTTGGAAAGGACCCTATGTTACTGTCCTGACCACCACGCCCACCGCTCTCAAGGTCGATGGGATTGCCTCGTTTGTACATTACACTCACGTCTGCCCCGCAGATCCACACGCCATCCTAGAAGACTTCATCCCATCATGACAGGTGTCCAAAGACTGAGACAACCCACTCAAACTCAAGCTGCATCGTCATTGGTCATAATTATAGTGACTGTACTCTTAACACCAGTATTGGGAAGACAGAACCCACACGCTCCCCTGAATTTAACTTGGATGATCATTAGTACATCCACGGGTGACACTGTCAACAGTACATCTAAAGTGACACCGCCACTGACCTGGTGGCCCACCCTTGACTTTGATCTGTGTCGACTCGCTGCCGGGACCTGGATCACCGGAGACTGGGAAATCGGACCCGGGGGAAAACCCATATGTAAAACAGGTACCAACAAATGTGATGAAAGTCTGACCCCTCCTTGGGTGTCCCTATCCATGGCTCCAAGAGGACTAGGCCCTGGGTGTAGCCAACCCACTGAGAGAAATGTTTTGCAAAACACCCCTTTCTATGTCTGCCCGGGGGAAGGATGCTCAAGATCTCAAGTGGAAAAATGTGGGGGAAGTGATGAATTTTATTGTGCAAAATGGGGATGTGAGTCTACAGGTACCATCTCGTGGGCTCCACCTGTCACAGATGACTTAATTTCTTTAAAAAGAGTCCCTGGGGCTCCTGGCCTTCAAACAGGCTGCAGAAACGGCAACATCAGGGTCCTTAGCGGTCCATGCACAGGATTCCTCTGTAACCCAGTTAGACTTTCGTTTACCGACCAAGGTAAAAAATATACCAGATGGGAATCAGGCCGAACGTGGGGACTCCGCCTACATCAGGATGGTCATGACAATGGGCTGTTATTCACTGTAAGACTAAAAATAGAACCGTACATTACGGGGCCTCCCCAACTGGTTGGGCCAAATTCTGCACTAGCCCCACTGCCCCCCCCAGCTCCTTCTAGACCCACCAAGCCCTCTCCCCAGAAAACCTCACCTGGCCCTGCACCCACACCCCCAAAGCCTCCCACGTCCCCACCCGTGCCCCAGCTTCCCTGTCAGGTTGCCACCCAGGGCCCCCTAGTCAACCTCAACCCAGACCAGGACCCCCTTTGGGGACTGATGGTTCACACTTTCAAGGTCCTTAATGCCTCCTGACCAGATCTCACTCAGTCTTGTTGGCTGTGCTATGACATTAAGCCCCCTTATTATGAGGGAATAGCTTTCTCAGGAAATTTTACTGAGTCAGACAGTCCCACTCTATGCAGGTGGCAACAGAAGGGAACAGCCAGGCTGACCCTACAGTTTGTAAATGGACAGGGAGTCTGTGTTGGTAGTGTCCCGGCTACTCATCAACACCTTTGCAACCAAACTTATCAGTCTAGTTCAGAAAAATATCTCATACCCCCTTCTGATGGATGGTGGACATGCTCCACAGGACTTACCCCTTGCGCACATGGAAAAGTGCTCAATCAGACTGGAGACTTTTGTGTACTAGTACAATTAGTTCCTAGACTGTTATATCATCAAGAAAAAGATATTTTCAATTGCTTGGTTGAGTTCTCCGCCAGAGTTAAACAGGAAGCTATGACAGCCATTACTTTGACAGTTCTCCTAGGTTTAGGATTAGCTGGGGCAGGAACGGGGGTCTCATCATTAGTGTTACAAAGTAAACATTACAATGATTTAAGAACAGCCATAGACATAGACATTGAGAGGTTGGAAAGCTCAATCTCCCACCTGCAAGAGTCTCTAACCTCACTGGCAGAAATGGTCCTCCAAAACTGAAGGGGGCTAGATCTAATTTTTCTTCAACAGGGAGGACTCTGCATTGCCTTAGGTGAAGAATGTTGTTTCTATGTAGATCACTCAGGGGTGGTCAAAGAATCTATGGCCAAAGTTAGAGAGGGCATCGCCAAACGAAAACGAGAAAGGGGACAAACTCAAAATTGGTTCGAATCCTGGTTTAATTTCTCCCCATGGCTGACTACCCTAATCTCTACTCTATTGGGCCCCTTGCTTATTTTGTTACTACTGTTAACCCTTGGACCTTGTATACTCAATAGATTAGTCTCGTTCATCAGAGAACGCATCAACGCTGTACAGCTAATGGTACTCAGGTCCCAATACCAACCAGTTTCTACAGACCTAATAGAATTAACCCCGAGAGGCCCATGATTGGTCCTCTATAGCATCATGAAAAGGGGGGAATGAGAGACCAAAGCAACTCCATTTTGCTAAAATGCACCATTGCCCTAGTCTCTCACAAGTTAATGGTTCAAATGTGCTTGCAGTGGGACAAAAGACACAATCTGTAACGAAACAAAGTTCCTGAGTTAATTGCCCAGCCATCTGTTTACCCGGGAAATAAATGTTCTGGGTCCACTATCCATAGAACAATCTGTAGATGTGCTGACTGTCAGTACATAATGGTCGTGACTATTAGTCAGTGTGTCTGCTGACCATCAGTACGTGACAGTTGGCCACTAACCTTTGTCCCTCTTTTCCCTCGTAAAACCCACATGTAGCCACCCCTCAACCCCCGATGTACCTAGCCAATCAGAAATGTACACTTCATGCTTGCTAAATGTTAACCAATCATGTAACTGCTAAGTAAAAGATCTCCAAACCTCGCTGTAACCTCTATAAACATCCCCACTGATTTGAAATTTGGGGCTCTCGATCTTGATCCGCTGCATTGGTGACAATTGAGAGTCCCTGCTCGAGCTTGAATAAACGACCCTTGTGCGCTTGCATCAGAATCGGGTCCTTGGTGGTCTTTGGGGACTTCGCGATCTGGGCACAACACTTCTGCACATTATTTTAATCATAATCCAAGTACAGATAATTCTGTTTTTCTGGGTTAAACATTATCTTGTTAGTTTCAATTCCTTGTTCTTTAAATTGAGATTCTGTTATTCAGTATATTAGCTACAAAGCATTAATTTAAAGCATGTCATCAGTACTCAACAGGGTGATAAAATCAGCACTCAGAAAATATATAGGAGAAATCTCAAGAGAGAGAGAGTTCTGATTCCAAGTGAAAATTTTCTTCTTATTGTTTGTGGCAGCCAGGAATATCCCATACCAGGCTAATTCCACTCCTCTCAATGAGGCTTCTCAGGATGAAATTAAGGTGGGATAAAAGAAATAAACATAAGTAGGAAAGAGACAAGGAAAGTAATAATTTAAAAATTGTACTTTTAATAAAAAGTGCAGCTGTAGGATAAAAACCCAGTAAAAACTTCCTAAGGTTCTTAAAGACACAATAAGTCTGGGGCCCTTCCTTTTTACCCATAAATGAGTTTGGGCATTTCTTTTTACCTGTTAAGTGGTCCTGTTCACCTGGGAATAGGCCATCCCCTTTTCCCTGTAAAATGGGCCTTTACCTTATGGATGGGCCACTGCCATAACACCTGTGATGGTTATCACTTACAAATGGGCCATACATCACCCTTTTACCGTAGAAAGGGCCATCACCTTTCATCTATAAATTGAGTTTTTTCCATAGACTCACAAATTCCACAGATTTCCACTCCCAAATCCCTGGGTCATCACCTATCCCCTGCAGAAAGGGCCATTATCTTTCATCTATAAATTGAATCCTATCTTTCAATAGATTCTTAAATTCCACAGATTCCCACTCCCTCACCCTTCATAAATATAAGCAGCTAAACACCACAAAAGATCTCTCTTTCTTGCCTGCACTCTATTTCATTGAGTGTGTACTTTCAAAGTTCTACCTAATAAATTCCTTTATGGCTCTTACTGATAAATTCTGCAAATTCATTTTTTGTGATGAAAATCAGCAAATCTACAACTTACCTATGGGTTGGGGTGAATTGAGGTTAACCATCTCTGCTTCGGGGACCTCTTCCTACCCTGTCCAGTGACAGGATTCCTTATTTTCTAGTATTGCTAATAGAAGACACAGCTATCCCTGAAAATTTTCAAACCAATATAAATTAACCATTGATGAGAATTGGAAAATACAACTGATAGTGATGTAGGAGAAATACAGCTCCCAATCTGCTAGATGTGCTGAGTTCATGTCCCCTGAAATCAAGGAATGGATTCCAAGGAACAATGCAGGATAAGAGTAGGAAAATTTTATAGAGATAGCTCCTGAGAGAAAGGAGGGGTCCTCAAAGTAGGTTGCCACCAAGGCACTTTGTCAGGGGTAATTTATACAGCAAAATCATAATGTGGATACAATGTGGGTCAAACTACCATCAACCTATAGGATTACAAGCACAGCCATTTAGCTAATATTGATTCAGTAAGAAAGCAAGGCATGTAGCAAGGGCATATGGCTAGCCTCATTAACCTTGGGTTATCTGTGACTTCTAAAACAGGAATATTTTGGGGAAGGGATGGTTCCAGGTGTTCTGGTCACCCCCCTTGGTGTCTGATGCATATCTAGACTTAATGGACTGGGTGGTATTACAGTAAAATCTTAAGTTTCTGTTCATCTCCTTGGGAGGTATTCAAGTCTGGCCATTGTGACTTTATCTTGAGGCCTTGCCTTCTTCAGATGCACCTCCAGCCACAATTTTGATGTCTTTATTTTTCTGCTGACTTCCTTGGCAGCCCAGCCCCTCTCTGATTATATATTTATTTCTATCTAACTTAGCTCCCCATAATATTTTCCCACTCTGAAGAGCTATCCCTAACTCTACCTAAGTGAGAAGTTTCAATCTAACTGCTTTGAGATTAGAAGGGTCAGTGTAGAGGAGACTGCAGTCAGGGACCTTCTCCAGAGGGCTAATCTAAGGGACCCTGGATAGAAGTCATGTTGCAGTTTAGCAATATGAACTCTCTTTACAAGGTCGATCTAGTGGATTCCTGTAAAGGATTCTGACACATTTGTCATTGGTTCCATCTGCATGATCACTTGGAGTTTGGCAAAATCTAGGTGAGAATAAACACATTTTTCCAAGA